TTGTTATGGAAGGTTTGGGAATCGCTTCCTTTTAAGTGGTTATAGAATTTAACGGCTCTTTTCTGGGATTTTTGATAATTAGCGGGGTATTGGCCTAATTCTGCTCTGCATGCATTATTTGGTGTTTTACGTTGTACACGGAGGATGTTTTGCAGAATTCTGCATGCAGAGTCTCAATTTGGTGTTTGTCCCATTTTGTGAATTCTTGGTTGGTGAGCGGACCCCAGACCTCAGAACCATAAAGGGCAATGGGTTCTATAACTGATTCAAGTATTTTTAGCCAGATCCTAATTGGTATGTCAAATTTTATGTTCCTTTTGATGGCATAGAAGGCCCCTTCTTGCCTTGTCTCTCAGATCGTTCACAGCTTTGTGGAAGTTACTGTGGCGATGATGTTTAGGCCGAGGTATGTATAGTTTTTTGTGTGGCTCTAGGGCAACGGTGTCTAGATGGGAAATTTGTATTTGTGGGTCCTGGCAACTGGACCTTTTTTGGAACACCATTATTTTTGTCTTACTGAGATTTACTGTCAGGGCCCAGGTCTGACAGAATCTGTGCAGAAGATCTAGGTGCTGCTGTAGGCCCTCCTTGGTTGGTGACAGAAGCACCAGATCGTCAGCAAACAGAAGACATTTCTCTCTCTCTCTCTCTCTCAATTCAATTCAATTCAATAGACTTTATTGACATGGCAAGTAAAATTACTTACATTGTCAAAGTATACATATAACAAAAATGGTGGGACCAACAGCAATAATAATAGTAGTAGTGGAAATGGGATTACCATAACAGCAACTACAACAACAATATTAATGAGAATAACAATACATTAAAGCAATAGTAGTCGACCAATCCACTCAACATGACTGAGAAGACATATTACATGCTATGAAAGCCAAAACAAAACAGGAAATATTATTGACATTACATTACAATTTTCACTGGCTGTCCCTCAGGCTGTGGCAGGGAGGACACATATTTGGCTGCCCAAAATTGCACATTTTGGCTTTTTCACCCAATAAATATTTGATTTTTTCTTCCTCTTTTATAGTTTCAAATTCGTTGTACTGAATGATAATTTTGGGAAAGAAAGATTCTCTTAGTTCTGAGTATTTGTCACAGTGTAATAGGAAATGCAGCTCTGTCTCTACCTCTCCCCGGGGGCAGAGTGAGCACAGCCTGTCCTCTCTGGGCAGCCAGGTTTGCCTGTGACGACCGGTCTCTATAGCCAGACTGTGCTCCACTGAGTCTGTACCTAGTCAGTGTTTTTTCTCAGTTTTCTATCAGTCACAGTGGTCAGATAGTCTGCCACCATGTACTGTCTGTTTAGAGCCAAATAGCATTGAAGTTTACTTTGATTTTTTTGTGGTGTCTTTCCAATAGGTGATATATTTTTCTTTTTGCTTTGGTGATGATTTGGTTGGGCCAGATTTTCTGAGTGCTGTCCTGAGGCTCTATGAGGTTGGTTTTGGTTAGTGAACTGAGCCTCAGAACCAGCTGGCTGAGGGGAACTCTTCTCTTGTTTCATCTCTTGACATAGTAGAGCTGTTGTGATGGAATGTTTTGGGGTCACTTGTTTTTAGATGGTTGTAAAATTTGATGGCTCTTTTTTCTATTCGAATAAGGAGGGGGGTATTTGGCCCAATTCTGCTCTACATGCATTATTTGGAGTTTTTCTTTGCACTTGCAATACAGTCTTGCAAAACTCTGCATGCAGTATTTCGATTGGATGTTTGTCCCATTTGGTAAATTCAGTATTAGAGAGCGGACCCCATACTTCGCTGCCATATAGAGCAATTGGTTCTATAACTGATTGGAACATTTTGAGCCAGATTCTAATTGGAATTTCGATTTTAATATTCCTTTTAATGGCATAGAATGCTCTTCTTGCTTTGTCTCTCAGCTCATTCACAGCCATGTGAAAGCTACCTGTGTTGCTGATATTTAGTCCTAGATATGTGTAATTTTGGTGTGTTCTAATAGAACTGTGTCCAAATAGAATTTATATTTGTCATCCTGATTTCCTGACCTTTTTTGGAATATCATTATATTCGTTTTTTTTTAGATTAACGGTCAGGGCCCAGGTCTGACAGAATCTGTGCAGATGATCTAGATGCTGCTGTAACCCCTCCTTAGTGGGAGACAGTAGCACCAGGTCATCTGCGTACAGCAGACACTTGATTTCAGTGTTGTGTAGGGTGAGACCAGGTGGCTGACGATTCTTCTAATGTTTTTGCCAATTCGTTAATGTAGATGTTAAATAGTGTTGGACTATTGGGCAGCCCTGTTTCACTCCACGTCCCTGAGAGAAGAAGTCTGTTTGCTTGTTGCCGATTTAATCGTACATTTGTTTTTTAGTGTACATTGATTTAATAACATCATATGTTTTCCCTCTAATACCACTTTCTATTAGTTTGTAAAAAAGACCTTCGTGCCAAATTGAATCAAATGCTTTCTTGAAGTCTACAAAACACGAGTAGATTTTTGCCTTTGTTTTGATTTACTTGTTTGTCAATTAGAGTCTGGAGGGTGTAAATGTGGTCTGTTGTACGATAATTTTTTACAAATCCATCTGGCTTCTGCTTAGGACGTTGTGTTCATCAAGGAAATTATGTAGTCTGCTGTTTATGATACTGCAGAGAATTTTCCCCAAGTTGCTGTTAACGCAAATTCCTCTGTAATTATTTGGGTCAAATTTGTCTCCATTTTTATAAATTGGTGTGATCAATCCTTGGTTCCAAATATCGGGGAAAATACCTGCAGTTTAGGATAATGTTGAAGAGTTTGAGTATAGCCATTTGAATTTGTGGTCTGTATATTTGATCATTTCATTTAAAATACCATCAGCACCACAGGCTTTTTGGGTTGGAGAGTGCAAGTTTTTTCCAATAATTCTTGTTCTGTAATTGGGGGTATCCACAGGATTCTGATAGTCTTTGACTGCTGATTCAAGGATTTGTAATTTTTCTTGTATATCTTGTTGTTCTGGGCTCTTTGTTATATTGCTGTAGAGGTTTGCAAAGTGATTTTCTCCACATATCCCCATTTTGGATAGCCAATTCCTCATTATGAGGTTTGTTTAATTTATTCAAATTCTCCCAGAAGTGGTTTGATTCTATTGATTCCTCAATCACAACCAGCTGATTTCTAATGTGCTGTTCCTTTTTTGTTCTTAGGGTGTGTTTGTATTGCTTCAGTGTTTCCCCATATTGAAGACGTATATTTTTGTTGTCTGGGTCTCTGTGTTTATGATTAGATATATTTCTCAATGACTTTCTTAGATTTTTGCAATCATTATCAAACCATTTTTCATGATCTATTATTTTGGTTTGCTCTTATGTTTCTTAAGATTAGCCAAGGAGGCTAATTTGTCAAATATAAAGTTTATGTTCCAAACGGCCAAATTTATACCTTCATTGGTGTAGGAGAATGTTAATGCTAAAAAGTTGTCCAGGAGAGATTGTATTTTTTGGCTACTAATTGCTTTTTGGTAGATTTCTGTACTGTTTGCACTCCATCTATAGGTCTGTTTAGTACCATGTAATTTATTGGGCCGTGATGCTTCATGGTTGGGTTCTGCTCTTTTCAGATACACTGTGATTTTACTGTGGTCAGAGAGAGGTGTTAGTGGGCTGACTGTGAAGGCTCTGAGAGACTCTGGTTAAGGTCTGTGATGAAGTAGTCTACAGTACTGCTGCCAAGGGATGAGCTGTAGGTGTACCTACCAAAAGAGTCCCCTCTTAACCTACCATTGACTATGCACAGACCCAGTATTCTCTCTCTCTCTCTCTCTCTCTCTCCTCTCTCTCCCCCCAATAGAACTATAAGGAGTTGGAGTTGTTGCGGCTGGTGTATTACGGAGGTGTACAGCATGACATCAGGAAGGAAGTCTGGCCCTTCCTGCTGGGTCACTACAAGTTTGGCATGGGCAAGAAGGACATGAGCCAGGTAGCTAACACAATACATGATACACACGTCAACTGGAGGGTGTGTGTGTGTGTGTGCTTGCGTGAGTGCCGTCTGTCTGTCTCTCTGTGTGTCTCTGTGTGCAGAGATATGTCTGTCTGTCTCTGTGTGCAGAGATATGTCTGTCTGTCTGTCTCTGTGTGCAGAAATGTATGTCTGTCTATCAGTCAGTCTATCTCTGTGTGCAGAGATATGTCTGTTTGTCTGTCTCTGTGTGCAGATATATGTATGTCTCTGTCTGTCTCTGTGTGCAGAGATATGTCTGTCTGTATGTGTGCAGATATATGTCTGTCTGTCTCTGTGTGCAGAGATATGTCTGTCTGTCTGTGTGCAGATATATGTCTGCCTGTCTGTGTGCAGATATATGTCTGTCTGTCTCTGTGTGCAGAGATATGTCTGTCTGTCTGTCTGTCTGTGTGTGTGTGCAGAGATATGGTCCTCTGTAGCTCAATTGGTAGAGCATGGCGCTTGTTCGATCCCCGGGACCACCCATACGTAAAAATGTATGCACACATAACTGTAAGTCGCTTTGGATAAAAGCGTCTGCTAAATGGCATATTATATTATTATGTATGTCCTGTCTGTCTGTCTGTCTCTGTGTGCAGAGATATGTCTGTCTGTCATTGTGTGCAGAGATATGTCTGTCTGTCTGTCTCTGTGTGCGGAGATATGTCTGTCTGTCTGTCTGTCTCTGTGTGCAGAGATATGTCTGTCTGTTTGTCTCTGTGTGCAGTGATATGTCTGTCTGTCTGTCTGTCTGTCTCTGTGTGCAGAGATATGTATGTCTGTCTGTCTCTGTGTGCAGAGATATGTCTGTCTGTCTGTCTGTCTATCTCTGTGTGCAGAGATATGTCTGCATATTTGTGTCAGTCTGTGTTTTAGCATCTTGCCACATCTAGTAGTATCTAGTACTCCCCACCGGAGACTTGTGTCCATCCCTTCCTACTGTCTCCTCCTCTGTTTCCAACTGTCTGAATAAAATGTAACATGTAAAAAATATATTTTAAAACATCTTGTCATAACATGTTCGTCTGTAGATCGATGAGAAGATCAGTGCACGGTACCAGCAGGTGATGAAGGAGTGGAAGGCCTGTGAGGTGATAGTCAAGCAGAGAGAGAAGGAGATGCAGTCTGCCATCTTTGCTAAGCTGTCTTCAGGAAGCAGCATAGACAGCCACGTCCTCCGGCTCATACACAGAGACTCCACTCTCAGCAACGAGGTGGGTGACACAGATTGATTGGTTGGCTGATTGGTTGATTGGCGGGTTGGTTGGCAGGCTGGTTGGCGGGTTGGTTGGTGGGTTGATTCGGTTGATCAATTGGTTGGTAACCCATCTCTACTACCACCTCTCTCCTGTCTCTACCCCTCCTCCTCCCCCCTCCTCCTCCTCCTCCCCCTCCTCCCTCCCCCCCCCCTCCTCCTCTCCTCTCCTCTCCTCTCCTCCCTCCTCCCCCTCCTCTCCTCCCTCCTCCTCCTCCTCCCCCCTCCTCTCCTGTCCTCCCTCTTCTCCTCTCTCCTCCTCCTTCCTCTCCTTCCTCCTCCCCCCTCCTCCCAGGTGTTCATGTCAGTAGATGAGCCCGACGCGGGGGGGCAGGATACCCCAGGGGGGGGCAGAGGAGACACCCCCGGCCACTCCACAGTGGTCCCCCCCGCAACCGGAGGGGCACTAGCTCCTGATGAGCGCCCCCTAGTGGAGTTTGACTCCCCTGACTCCGGCCTCCCGTCCTCCCGGAACTACTCTGTCACCTCCGGGCACTCTCAGATTCTCTCCTCTATCGACGATGGACAGAGCACGGAGGAGGAGGCCCGGACACACACACCTCCCACTGTGAGATGGAGGAGCAGGGCCGGACACACACACACTCCCACTGTGAGATGGAGGAGCAGGGCCGACAGGATTCGTTGAGTGAGGAGAGGCTGTGCAGTCAGCTGGATAAGTTGATGCCCAATGGGAATGGAGGAGCGGAGGGGATGCCTTCACTGTCCTCCTATACGGTAGGTACTGGACACACCCACACACACACACACACCCACACACACACACACACACACACACACACACAACACACACACACACACACACACATACACCACACACACACACATATATTCAAAAAATGCTCCCTACACTCACAGGGAGCATCATTGAATTGCATATCCAAACACAGATCACATTTGAATACTGTGTCTTGTATAACAATTCTAGTACTTTTCTGAATACGGGTGCTTGAGAAAGGCTGAGTACGGTTCGGGAGACTGGTCTGAGTACGGGTCTGAATACGGTTCTGTAAGACGGTTCTGAGGAACTGGTCTGAGACTGTTGCTGGAGACTGGGGCTGTATACTGTTGGGAAGCGGGCGGAATACGGTGCTGAATAGTGTGCGTATACAGGTTTCTGAGACTGGTGGCGGTAGACGGGTGCGAAGACCTGTTCTGAGGACGGGGGCGGGAGAACTGTGCGGAATACTGTTTCGTAATACGGTCGGAAACGGGTGCTGGATACTTTCGAATACGGGTCTGAGGACGGTGCTGAATACTGTGCTGTAGACTGTGCTGACTACTGTCGGATCGGTCTGGCTACTGTTTCTCTGTAGGCTGTTCTGAGTACACTGTTTCTGAAACTGTTCTGTATACTGTTCTGAATACTGTTCTGAGATACTGTTCTGTATACTGTTCTGTATACTGTTCTGTATACTGTTCTGAATACTGTTCTGTAATACTGTTCTGAATACTGTTCTGAGTACTGTTCTGAATACTGTTTCTTTAACTGTTCTGAATAACTGTTTCTGTATCACTGTTTCTCTGTTCTGATATTTGTGCTGCTTATACTGTTTCGGTATACTGTTTCTGTATCTGTTTCTGTCTACTGTTCTGTATACGTTCTGTGTAACGTTCTCTGATTACTGTTTCTGAGTACGGTTCTAATACTGTTTCTGATTACTGTTATGTGTAACTGTTCTGAGTACTGTTTTTCCGAGGAAGGTCTGAATACTGTTCTGAATACTGTTCTGTATACTTTTTTCTGTAGCTGTGTCTAATCCTGTTCTGTATATACGTTTCTGAATACTGTTCTGTATGCTGTTCTGAATACTGTTCTGTATACTGTTCTGTATACTGTTCTGAATACTGTTCTGTATACTGTTCTGTATACTGTTCCTGATCTGTTTCTGTAGACTGTTCTGAATACTGTTCTATACCTGTTCTGTATACTGACTGTGCTGACTACTGTTTCGTATACGTTCTGTATACTGTTTGCTGAATAACTGTTCGGTATACTTTTCTGATACTGTTCTGTAATACTGTTCTGAAATACTGTTCTGAGTACTGTTCTGAATACTGTTCTGTATACTGTTCTGAATACTGTTCTGTATACTGTTCTGTATACTGTTCTGTATGCTGTTCTGAGTACTGTTCTGAATACTGTTCTGAGTACTGTTCTGAATACTGTTCTGTATACTGTTCTGAATACTGTTCTGTACACTGTTCTGTATACTGTTCTGTATACTGTTCTGAGTACTGTTCTGAATACTGTTCTGTATCTGTTTGAATACTGTTTCTGAGTACTGTTTCTTATCCTGTTTCTGTATACTGTTTCTCTTGTTCTGATACGGTTCTGTATCCTGTTCTGTAATCTGTTTTCGAGTACTGTTCTGATATTGTTTCTGTATACTGTTCTGAGTACTGTTCTGTATACTGTTCTGTATACTGTTCTGAATACTGTTCTGTATACTGTTCTGTATACTGTTCTGAATACTGTTCTGAATATTGTTCTGTATACTGTTCTGAATACTGTTCTGTATACTGTTCTGAATACTGTTCTGTATACTGTTCTGTATACTGTTCTATAAAGGCAACTTTACTACATTTATATTTACACTTTACTACATTTATATTTACAATTTAATTGAAGTGTGTGTGTGTGTGTGTGTGTGTGTGTGTGTGTGTGTGTGCAGATTGAGTTGTTGGACACAGTGGCTCTGAACCTCCACAGGATAGACAAGGATGTCCAGCGTTGTGACCGTAACTACTACTACTTTACGACCGCTAACCTGGAGAAACTACGCAACATAATGTGCAGGTAAACACACATGCAACGCGCACACACACACACACAACACACACACATATACACACACACTTTTATTTTTTCTCTCTCTCTCTCATTCATTCATTATTTCATGCTTTTTTCATGTCTCCTCTCCCCCCCCCCTTCTTCCCCCTCCTGTACCAGCTATGTGTGGGACCACCTGGAGATGGGTTATGTCCAGGGGATGTGTGATCTGCTGGCCCCTCTTATGGTCATCCTGGACGATGGTAGGAACCTCAGACACCATGGTTGCCTCCTAAGTGGCCCTATGGGCTCTGGTCAAAAGTAGTGTACTTTTGGGTGTCATTTGTGGTCCCTCTGTAGCTCAATTGGTAGAGCACGGCGCTTGTAACGCCAGGGTAGTGGGTTCGATCCCCGGGACCACCCATACACAAAAATGTATACACGCATGACTGTAAGTCGCTTTGGATAAAAGCGTCTGCTAAATGGCATATTATTATTATTATTATTTGGGATGAAGCCCATTAGCCGTTAGCTGTTAGCCGTTATCTGTTAGCTGTTAGCTAGCTATTACCTAGCAATTAGCAATGATCCATTAGGAGTTATAGCCATTTGTAATGAGCTTTTAGCCGTTAGCCGCTAGCTGTTGCATTACACAGTGATCAGAGAGTGAAGGGAAATGTATGGGCCTAATCCTTGGCCACAATAGACGGACAGAAGGACAGCCTCCCCAAGAGCATTTGTTGACGTTTCTCCCTTCTCTCTCTCTCTCTCCCTCTCTCTCTCTCTCTCCTCTTTCTCTCTCTCTCTCTCTATCTATCTCTCTCTCTCTATATATATATATCTCTCTATCTCTTTATCTCTCTCTCTCTCTCTCTCTCTCTCTCTCTCTCTCTCTCTATGTATCTCTCTCTCTCTCTCTATCTCTCTCTCTATCTCTTTCTCTCTCTCTCTCTCTCTCTCTCCCCCCCTCCCTCCCTCCATCAGAGTGTCTGGCGTACAGCTGTTTCACCCAGCTGATGAAGAGGATGAGCCAGAACTTCCCCAACGGCGGAGCCATGGACACACACTTCACCAACATGAGGTCCCTCATACAGGTGGGGTGTGTGCATGTGTGTGGTGTGTACACAGATGTGTGTGTTGAAATGATTCTAACATGACCCCTGACCTCTGGCATGGTCTCTGTTTGATGATGTCATCAGATCCTGGACTCTGAGCTGTTTGAGCTGATGCATCAGAATGGAGACTACACCCACTTCTATTTCTGTTACCGCTGGTTCCTGCTGGACTTCAAAAGAGGTACAATATTTTACATTTACATTTTAGTCATTTAGCAGACGCTCTTATCCAGAGCGACTTACAGTTATTGAGTGCATACATTTTTCATACTGGCCCCCCGTGGGAATCGAACCCACAACCCTGGCGTTGCAAGCGCCATGCTCTACCAACTGAGCTACAGGAGGCCCATAATCCTGTGATGCTCAAACTACACAATTTTTATACATGTCATAAGATTTCTTAGGGGTATGTTGAAACTTTACTTAGACAGTTATGAAAGAGAGGCGATACAGGCAGGTGGGATAAACAGTGGGAAGGGTGTAATGCTGGGATTGAACCCTGGTCTTCAGTAGGGAGCTTTATGTGACGTGCCAGGAGTGTTACCAACCATGGCTCTGTCTTCAGTAGGGAGCTTTATGTGACGTGCCAGGAGTGTTCCCAACCATGGCTCTGTCTTCAGTAGGGAGCTTTATGTGACGTGCCAGGAGTGTTACCAACCATGGCTCTGTCTTCAGTAGGGAGCTTTATGTGACGTGTACCAGGAGTGTTACCAACCATGGTCTTGTCTTCAGTAGGGAGCGTTATGTGACGTGTACCAGGAGTGTTACCAACCATGGCTCTGTCTTCAGTAGGGAGCGTTATGTGACATGTACCAGGAGTGTTACCAACCATGGCTCTGTCTTCAGTAGGGAGCTTTATGTGACGTGTACCAGGAGTGTTACCAACCATGGCTCTGTCTTCAGTAGGGAGCGTTATGTGACGTGTACCAGGAGTGTTACCAACCATGGCTCTGTCTTCAGTAGGGAGCGTTATGTGACGTGTACCAGGAGTGTTACCAACCATGGCTCTGCACAGTAACTCAACTCTTTATTTTTTTGTGTGTGGCACCTAGAAGTGGGACCATAGTACACTGGATTTCTGTATGACATTTCAGATTAAAATTGAAATACTTAAACTAAACTAAAATCAAATTGTATTTGTCACATGCTTGGTAAACAACAGGTGTAGACTAACAGTGAAATGCTGACTAACGGTCCTTTTCCAACAATGTAGAGAGAAAGAACATAGAGAAATCATAGAAAAGTAAAACACTCAATAATAAAAGTGTGTGTGTGTGTATCTTCTCTGTGTGTGTGTGTGTGTGTGTGTGTGTGTGTGTGTGTGTGTGTGTGTGTATGTATATATCTCCTCTGTGTGTGTGTCTCCCCTCCAGAGATGCTGTACCAGGATGTGTTCTCAGTATGGGAGGTGATCTGGGTGGCCCCCCGTATCTCCTCTCAGCACTTCGTCCTGTTCCTGGCCCTGGCTCTGATAAAGGTCTACAGAGAGATCATCAGAGATAACACCATGGACTTCACTGACATCATCAAGTTCTTCAACGGTGACAGACAGACAGAGTCTGAGTCCCAAATGACACCCTATTCCCTATATAGTGCACTACTTTTGATCTGGCCCCTAGAGCTATGGTCAAAAGTAGTGCACTATGTAGGGAATAGGGTACTATTCAGGACCCCAACAAGGACGTGGTATAATGTGTTGCGATGGAGCAGAAAGGTGTAGGCAGATTGTGTGTGTGTATAAAACCATCTCCCTGACTTCCTGTGTGTGTGTGTGTGTGTGTGTGTGTGTGTGTGTGTGTGTGTGTGTGTGGTGTGTGTGTATATAACAGAGATGGCAGAGCGTCATGACGTGCAGCACATCCTTCAGATCGCCAGAGAGCTGGTGCACAAGGTCCAGTCTCTCATCGAGAACAAGTGATCCAACTGAGGAGGAGGAGGAGGAGGAGGAGAGGATGATGAAGAGGGCCAGAGGGAAGAGGAGGAGAAGAGGAGAGGAAGAGAGGAGCCAGATGCCATCACTGCACCCCTCGATCCACCCATCCATCCTCCGAACCTAGCACAGCTCCCTCTCTTACCCCTCTTTACCCCTCCCAAACCTGGGGAAGAGACAGAGACATGGGCCCTCTGTCCCTCCAGCCAGACCAGTGAAGGGTGAAGGCTCCAGGTGACCATCCTGGCATGGGTGCAGGAGAGAACAGTGGGAAAGGGATGCTGGCTGGGCCCAGGTTTAGATCTGGGTCCTGGTTCCAGTGCTAGGTCTGGGTCTAGGTCTGGTCCTAGTCTAGTTCCTGGTCTAGGTCTGGCCCTGGTTTGTAGATGTTGTTTACAAGCACCCGGTCACAGAATGCCATGGTTGGATGGTGGTTGCTGTCAGACGTGTGGAGTTGTCTGCATGCTGGTTAGTTTGATCACACTGTGACTGCCCCATCTTATTATTCTCCACTAAACTCCATTATCAGTACCCTTCTCCAGAGACCAGAGACCCCCTGCCCTCTCCATCACAAAGACCTCCTGCACTCTCCATCACAGAGACCAGAGACCCTCTGACCTCTCCATCACAGAGACCAGAGACCCCCTGCCCTCTCCATCACAGAGACCTCCTGCACTCTCCATCACAGAGTCCAGAGACCCTCTGACCTCTCCATCACAGAGACCAGAGACCCTCTGCCCTCTCCATCACAGAGACCAGAGACCCCTTTGCCCTCTCCATCACAGAGACCAGAGACCCCCTGCCCTCTCCATCACAGAGACCAGAGACCCCCTGCCCTCTCCATCACAGAAAGCCAAGTATTTGATACCAATCAGATTCCTCCCAGTGTTGAATTGGACGATCAGCTAAATGCATGTGATATATGTGTGGCTTCATCAAGTGTGACTTTGCTTTAGTGACACAACATTAGAGTGTGAATGACCAAGTAAGCCAGTAGCACAGAGACTGGGGACAGTACAGTGTGTAATACCAGGGTGCTCAGTGCACTACCAGTAGAAGCCTCTAGAGGGCCCTAGCCACTCACACAGGCTATTATGGATTCCCCTTACAGAGGAGATGAAGAGTTAAGAAGCCACGAAGAAGAAGCCTTTGTCTGTGACCAAATGGACTGTGCCAACTTTCACACCTTTTCATAAAGTATTTATACGACTATACACACATCAGCCTTGAAACTCTGTCTTGTGGTCCTGTTTTGATTGGTTAATAACCCTCTCTCCCCTAGAATGTTCCTCTTCCTATAACCTTGCTTTATGGTTCGTTTTCTTGAATTCCTCAGATGTTGCCTTTATTATATACCAGTGTACTGTATATTCCAGCCCGATCCACTTTGTTGTGAGTGTTGCCCTTGTTGGTCCAGTACCCATGAAGCCCCCACCACTTCCCCAGTAGGGGCCAACACAGCTCTCCTTTGGGGGTGGGCTTCGTTAACTGGCAGATAGGTATTGGAATATAGTATTTTCCTTCCCCTGTCGAAATTCCATTCTACGTTGTGCGCTACTGACCACGACTGACCAATGAACATGGCTAAAGTGAAATTGAGTCAAATGATGAGAGCACAAAAAAATCATAATCCGATTCTTAAATGATTATGATATCCCCGTATGATGTGATACGCTGCGTCTCAAATGGCACCCTATTCTCTATATAGTGCACTACTTTTGACCAGGACCCATAGGGTGCCATTTGGGACAAAGATATCCTTACTAGTCTCCAGTGGCTCCCAATAATAACCCGCACTCTTATTTCCAAAATGGCTGCCATGGAGTGGTCCCAACCATAAAACAGACCCTACAGTGACAACACTGCCCAGTCTTCCCCAATCCTGAGGTGTTGTGGAGAAATCAGCTTCTTGGAACGGAGAGCGCGAATTAAAGGGCGATAGTAGTAAGGAAGGACCCCTAACGCCAGGGTTGTGGGTTCGATTCCCACGGGGGGGCCAATATGGAAATGTATGCACTCACTAACAGTAAGTGGCTCTGGATAAGAGCGTCTGCTAAATTATTCAAATGTAAATGAAGGAATGTGGAATGTTTCCTAAATGGCGCCCTAGTCCCTTCGTTCATGGGTTGCACGTTTCGTCACAATATTGTTTTGAATGCTCATTTTAGGAGTGATGCCCAGCTGAACATGCTACTCAAGGCTGTCACATTGGGTGCTGATTAAGATTTATTCTTAAGTGCATTATGGTGGCTTTTGTTAGAAATTGCGTAATTCAAATCTGGTATTGGAATAAGAATCAAGAGATCTTCAATCCAAGCTAAATTTATTATATGCAAAATGTATGAATGATAAGTATGATGGTTCGTATACGGGCTCACTGAAATACCACGCAGGGCACTCAGAGAACTGATCCATTGTTACAGGTTCTTCCTCAAATACTCTGACAGAGAGAGAGAGTTCCCACCTCTCTGCTGGCCAATCAGAGTAGAGACTGAGCGTGGTTTAGACTTACTCAGCCAATCCGTTGGCGCACGGGCTGGTCCCAACCCCTTGGCGCTCCACTTGTTGCACACTGTTGCCAGGCATAAGTTTATCATAATAACCTGTAGAGTCAGCACTTTTTTTGCAGTACCCATGTCCTTGGACGGTTCACAGATCACAAAGAAGCAGTGTAGTCTAGTATTTTGAGACAAGTTCTTATCTCATCTTACCCCTAACATTCCACACATGAATCACAGCCTGTTATGTGAAACAATTTATATCAGTACAGTACAAACCTATGCTTATCATTAATGCATTCCTTCTAAGCTATTCATTCACATACAAATCCAATTATTAGAAAATAGAACCCCACACTTTGAAACTCGATTGCATTTCAAGAATGAGGCAAATAATTAGTAGGACAAGCTTTTGTTGTGATTTCGCCAGATTGACTTTAGATACAGTATATCTTTAGCTAGCTAATTTTGAGGGGAGAGCACCGAAATCTTAACTAGCTAACGTTAGCATTGCTAGCTATTTCTGACGAACTTTGCTAGCACATGGCAACATTGACAACGTCATAATGATGGCAAAGTTGTTTTCTACAAATTATTTGTCTACTTTAGCGATGTCATCGTATTTCCAGGCCACTATAGTGTAAATTTGACTTAACAATCATTAGCCCCCGGTTCAGATTGAGCATGAACCATTAGTCAGACAACAATATGCTGTGGCGTCTGTAGGACGTTGATAACAATGGCTTCGACGCGACCGAGTGACGGGAGGTGCAAACCATGAACAAGTGCAATACTTCTGACCAGAGCCCCGGTTCTCAACCAAGTACATTTTCTTCTGCCCAGAGTACCCCTGAAGTACCTACCCCCTTATGTGCATTTGACCAGTAAAGCTTATGGGTATTCTCAAGTACCCTCTGAGAATAGGCCAAGTAGCCCTAGTTGAGAACCACTGGTAAAGGGAACCGGTTCCATTTGAAACACACACATGGTTGAAGTAGATCTCACTACACATGTGGTAGTTTATGATTGCAGTGTGAAGGAGGGGAAAGGTTTAGTAGCCTGGAATCCTAACGGATTTTGCGATATTTCTCTGTTGTTACCATGGTGAGCGCCGCGTTACAGTCTGGTTGAACCAGGGTAGATTTGAGGACCTTAGGAGAGCCATTTTCTTCCAATCAGGACCATGTGTACCAAAGCCTCGAAACAGACCCCTCTAAGGTATGATGACAAGGTGCAATTTCATACGTATCGCGAAGACTGTTTATTAGGTGTAAAATACTTTTTTTAAACCACGCCGTTTAATTATAGATTATAACTACTGTGCAATTTCTGTGTGAGAATCAATGTAAATCTCTCAAGTCTATAATGACTGTAAATAAATATAACAAAACCCCCAAAAAGCCCAATATTTATATGAGGACTATAAGGATATAACGTATTTTAAAGTCTATTTTATACGTTGGTTTTAGAGCCGCATGTATTTGGAGAATGCTGATTGATGTGGTTAACTGAATGCTGATTGATGTGGTTAACTGAATGCTGGTTGCTGTGGTTAACTGAATGCTGGTTGCTGTGGTTAACTGAATGCTGGTTGCTGTGGTTAACTGAATGCTGGTTGCTGTGGTTAACTGAATGCTGTTGCTGTGGTTAACTGAATTTCTGGTTGCTTGTGGTTACTGATCTGGTTGCTGTGGTTAACTGAATGTGGTTGCTGATGGTTAACTGAATGCTTATTGCAATGTTACTGAATGTGTTGCTGTGGTTACTGAAGCGTTGCTGTGGTTACTGAATGTGGTTTGTGGTTAACTGAAGCTGATTGATGTGGTTAAGATGCTTTGCTGTGGTTAACTGAATGCTGGTTGCTGTGGTTAACTGAACTGTGCTGTGGTTAACTGAATGCTGGTCTGTGTTAACTATTGAGTTGCGTGGTTAATGAATGCTGGTTGCTGTGTTAACTGAAAGCTGACTGATTTGTTACATGAATGCTGGTTGCTGTGGTTAACTGAATGCTGTTGCTGTGTTACTGAATGCTGTGACTTGTGTTAATGA